TCCAAACACGTGATGCGACGGGTATAAGTGGACTACCTTGTATGTAAAGCATGCCTTGCGAACGGCACAAGTTGGGAGTGGGGACCGCGAACAAGGTAATGCGACACCCAAGCAGCGATCTCATTGCTAGTTTGGCACTGGCGCAGCCCAAGGTTTTGGACGACCTACCAACGCTCGGGCATTTGACGGTACAGTATCCGGATAGCGAGACAGTCACAGGTGCATGGCTGCGTATGACAGGGGCGGTGTGACGGGCCTGTGCAACCGAAATCCAAGATGGAAGGTGGCTGCCTTGGGTTATGCAGAGTCGTCTTGAGCGGCGGTCTGCTGAGAGGGTTAGTGCCGAAACACAACTGTGGCCATTTTGTTACAAGGCGAGTAGGCCCTCCTTTGTTACCACAGGCGTCGCTTACCCTCATGCTGGATGCAGTACACCGACTTGATTATCCCTGAATCAAATGAGATACTGCGACCGGGCTGTCGGAATTTTGCATCGACTGATCTGTACGCACATGCATGGGCGGACTGGTGCGGACCGGACGTAAGGGCAACTGACACGCAAGTCGGTGCGCATCAACTGAATACGTATCACGTACCCAATTTAGTGGCATGCTCACACATGGGAGTCACTCCACCGTTGCCCGCCGTCTTTGTCCATTTTACCGCCTCCTCTCCAGCAGAGGTACTTGGCTGACACAGCATACAGGCGAGCAACAACGCAGTTTCTTCCTACGGTAGTTGTATCTGCAAAGCCCACACAATTCCGCGAGGTCGATAACACTCAATTTTCTACCTAACGGCCTGTGAACACGTAGTCCACAATCGCAGATGACAGTACAAAGGCATATAACGGGCCAAGTAGATAACGCTTGACATGTCCCCTAGGATGTCCGTACTGAAGAGAAAGATTAAATAATGAATGTACCAAGAAAATGGAGTGTGACATAGTGATTTAGCAGAGATATTTACATGGTAACTGGTATACGTCCAGTTTGTTGCAACTAATCGCTCGCCATATTTTGTATCTCCGGCACGAAGCGGGAAATTCGAGGACATAATTTTATACATGAAATCCCCTTTATAATTCCAACTAGCGGAGTAACAGATGTAAACGCTGACAGTCAAACTCTGCATGGTTGGCTTAATACTGAGGCTCCGAAGATACGCAAAAACTCCGAATCTGCCATACCTCCCTACAGACATGATATATATATATATATATATATATATGCAACAGCTTACAAATAGGCATGGAGCCATCAGAAACCAAGGAACTCAAATAAAGATAAAGATATCGCTAAAAAAGCACAACACAAAACGGAGGAGTCCATGGTTTCGTCAGAGGGCGAGGTAGTACCCAGTTGTTCAAGCCGAAGTAGGGTGTTGACTTAGGGGACACCACCCCGAGAGCCTTTGGCCGAATGGCTTGCACGCAAGGCAGCGGAGCGAATCCAGGGAATCGCGCACATTGGGAGCCGGTGACTAGTTGTCTAGTTCATACGCCATTCGTTTGTCAAACAGGGGCCCAATGCTCTCCAGAATTTCAGTATTGAGCTGCTGGAATACAATGCTTCGCCAGTATGAAGCAAGAGGCAGTGATTTCATTTAGTTGCGAGTCACATCTGCCACGTCCCAGTGTTGTTAAACGGACATATGTGGCTTTTTATAGGGAGATCGCTTGCCAGGCGAAAACACACCACGTCCTTGAACACTGCCGCCGAACGGTTTGCTGGAACGTGATAACCTCGAACCAGCCAGCTGGCACCACGAGGTTGTCCGGCAAGCCAGACATCACAATTGGCGCACATCAGTTCCAGGGAGCAGTTTCCATTTATTGTTTCTACTCAGACAAATAACCAACGTTGAGCTTCGGTGGCTTCAGCGTTATCGGCCGATAGTGTGAAAACGACTGATATTAGGATGGAATAAGGAAGTCCATTATCCGGAATGATTCAGTTGAGGGCGCCTGCACTTTAGTGTTTTACTCGATCGGCTTGCGAAACGACTAGCTTTACGGAGGATGACAGCGCAAGGGCCACTAATGAGAACTTTGATCGTCGTTCAGATCCCTGGACTAGCGCAGTGAGTATGGTTGAACCACCAATATACTTTGGTTCAAGCCCAAGTACTATCCATATCATTTGGTCTTTGAGTCTGTCACGCCTCACCGTTAACTTTATAATACTTATCTGCGTTAAAACTGAACTGGCGTTTTGTATTCAGAACGAAAAAGCACGTCTTATAAATAAAATAAGATGTACTGCTAGTTCCAGAATGCCATGTTTGTTGCCCCGGTGGACAAAGAACGCAAAAACAGAAACCCACGAAGGATAAGATAACATAAGAATGCAACTTGTGAGATGAATCAGCCATTTTGTGCATACTAACGAGGCATAAGGACACAGCAAACGAGAGTGCACAGAGAGGAAGACTGGGATCGATTTGTGGCTTGCTGAGAAGCAGTTGTATTGTGAATTGCAAATTCTGCAGTTTAATGAATTTATTTACGAAGCTGAACATAGGGCACTAAAACCTGTGGATGACCACAGTACATAAACGAAGGGCTTGCCTGAAATTCATAGAATGCGAGCACGCATGCGGCCAAGCACCTCCATGACTAATTCGCCGTACTACGCCATTGCTAAACGAGTTAATCACACGCTCGAATCTGTAAGATAACTTATGACAAAACATACTATAGCGAGCAATTACGAACCGCTCGCTTAATCGGAATGTAACCTGCAAGCGAATGCGTTTGCCTGATATGCAGCATCTTTTCACAATCCTAACAGTGAGCGAGACCGTTGACTAGTTATGGGTTTATTTCAGAGAACACTGTACAGCCACAATTCTGAAAGGAAATGTTTCTTTTATGCATGTAAAACATAAGAAAGCAGATCGACAGACATCTGGTGTGGTGATGTATATCCCACTAAAACCGTTTCTCAAAGCCGTACTCATGGGCATGACGGAAGAGAAGTTAGACCATATCAGAAGGCCGTAACTATACGACACCCAGCTCTCTATGGATTCGGATGGGAACATTGCGTGAGGGACCAAAACGTTCAACAGGAAACATGGGAACCTTAACATAACGTGTGACGCTGATGAGGACAATAGTGTCTGATATCTAAACGTACTGAGCGAACGATGATCAGATGGTTCGATCAATAAGTCAGTTTACCAGATGCAACCAGAACAAGTGTTTGTGTTTCAAGAGCTTCCCTACGACAAAGCATAAATTCTCTCGATTTTTGACCTACAATAGTCCAGCTGCAATGCACAAAACGCATCAGTGACATGACCAGGCGAGATCGAGAGCCAAAATCCCGAAAAGAAGCCGACAATGTTCAACTGCCACAAAAAGGTGATTATATGACGAGTTTCCGCGAAACGGAAAATTGCCTCATTAAAAATGTCGTATAATACAGCGGAACTACAGTTGCTCACATCAACAGAACCCTTACTAATGTGTTCCATTAAGAGAAGGATGACGAGGCGGTGCGTGACCCATTGATTATACAAATGTACCTGACCTGGGGAGATAGTTATGTTAGGCGCATTGACCGGAGTCTAGATGCCAGAATCATTGAACGCATTTCAAAATGGCTATGCAGTCAAGTAGAATCAGTGAGGACGGAACCAGTTAAATCGAAAACCTAGCTAACGTGGCAAACACGATGCACGGGCTAAGCACCGGCCACCAAGTCAACCCCGAGGAGTCATTTACCATCCTTAACTGTAATCAGAAGTCGCACGTACTCAGGCTGCTTAAGTTCATGGTACTCGATCTACAGCGATCGCAGATCGCCGTACAGAAGCGACTATCTGTGAAACTGAGTCTATCGTGGTAGAGCGCTCTGGTTGACCAACAATCGACGTCCTCTGTTATTTTGGTGTGTACTTGCTATCGACGGTATTATGGTATTGATTGATAAGCTTGCACTAAGTAACTAAGCTACCGCCTAATTTGCGTTCTCTGATTTTATGAGTGAGTATTGAGGAATATAATAAGTGCCCACATAATTGGTTGACAAAGACCTTGCTTTATCTTCCTTATTTCACTGGTTTTCCGTTCCGGCATTTCTAGCCATTGTAGGGTAGGAAAGTGTCATCAAACGTTTCCACACTACGCCTGCGCGTTCTGCTTCGTCTATCGGGCTACGGGCCATACTAAGCACCGAGTTGGAGCATAAGAATGTAAGGGAGCTACTCAGAGTGAGTCGCAAATCGCGACAGATATTTTGGAGCACCGCATGCAGTACCATATTTTGAGTCCGTAGAGCCCATGATGTCTACCTAATAAGTAGATAGCAGTCCAGAATAAAACGAGATCATCTGATGGAAACCGAATGCATCAAAGGACACACGCACGGCTACCACCAGGTTGGAGGTAAGCGCCGACAACAGACTGTCCCCAATAAAAGATGAATAAGCGCCGTTCACCGATATGGTTGCACCCGAAATGAGAGCAAAGATAATGTTTGTTATGCAATCCGAGGGGTACAGAAAACAAAGCCATGCGTTCGTTGTTCTTTCAGCCAGCTGGTCACGTGATGCACTTGTGAGCATGCCGGAAAGACTCGATTTAGTTGTAGACCAAATAGCTTCAAACAAACGCGAATTCAACTTAGTAATTATACGCTAGCGGACCGGAAACCTGCGCCCTCCAGCCTTGCCTCAGAATGCTAGAGATATGTAGTTCGTAACGAGTGATATGTAGATGGACAAAGTTGACTAAAGTTGATTAGTATGGCAAACACTGAAATCCTGGTTTCTGTGATGCAGCGTACACCGGGAGCTAGAGTATCGTGCATAAATCTAAGTGTAGAAGGCCAAGGTGATGTCACCGGATAGGTCAACTGACTATGTTTGTTCACCGATTGTTTCGAGTGGCGAGTTAACTACAGCTAATCAAGGTTGGTTGTGTCACAAAAATGGGGAGCGGTTCAACGAAAATTCAAACAAGTAATGCAAATGTGGATGCAATGCAAAAGTACCTCGGCACTTCCGCATGGTAAGAAAGAGCAATTCGTTACGCCAGCAATGACGCGCCACAAAAAGGCCGGATTGAAGAGCGCCACACTGGAGGAAGATACGTGAGACGAAGGTCGTCCAACCGATAGAGCAGCAAAGAGACGAGCGATGCCACGCCAGCGGCTAAGAACATCGGTCGCGTCTAGCATAGATTTTGCTGCTGTAAGTGCGTCTTCGTCCAAGAAACTGCAGAGTATAGGGCAAGCAACAAAAACGCGAGCCAGAAATTCAGTCTGGAAAAAGGAAAAATGCAAATATTCAACGGCAGCGTATATAAAAACAGAGTGCAAAGACTAGAAAATCAGTGTAGGTTGATAACCAAACAGGTCGGAGCAGGGAAAGTGCAAGATATGACTGGTTCCGCTACCCAAATGAAGTGGATGTTGTAACAGGGGGTGTAACTGTTGGAAGAAATTAACCTGTGAACAGCGAACGTAAGGCGAACATCAGATCCGGCCCATACCATGCCACATAAGACTAGAGACAACATCAGTTGTAATACTGCCCAATGTATGAACCAGTGAAACCAATTCGCAATCCAGTGGATATAAGACAGTCTAGCAAAACAGAAGCCGGCCCGTAGCCTTAAGGACCACAAGCTTGCTTTGTAATGTGGGGCGGGGTGGGTTCGAGCATGCGTATGGACCGGGCGACCCTTGCAGCATCCTTAGGCAACATGCGACCGGCGTAGCAGTGTAGCGTCCGCACACAGCGCAGAAAATCTACGAAAGTTAGAGGGACGGATGTGACCGTATGTCAAACCTTTAGCCAGTTATCTAAACATATAAAGGAAAAGTTAAAGCGCTGTTTAGTCAAGTTGGATGTAGAAGTCGCTTGACCGACGTATTAACCGACTAGCTAGAACTTGGGAAACTATGGTTCAAGATGAACACATAGATACGATCGTCATAGTGGAATGGACAACAGTAATTCTTTGTCGGTGGTCGATATCGAACTCTTGGTGTGAACAGCTCAAACAAGGCTGATACTTCATTCATTGCTCTTGATCTGATCTCGTACTGAGTGGATACGACCAACACATTCAAACAGCATCCACTTATTTTGTTGCAGGGCTAGCTCGATATTTATTGTCTTACTAAACCTGGGTGTGCTCTCTACTGAAATCTAATATTGGTCTGATTTTAAAAGAGCTTGTTCAATTGCTTTCTCCACCGGATAACTGCGCCTGTTAAAACAATAGCCGTTTATTTTCTGAAATCCTCGACAGCAATATTCCGCATTTCCGTGTTACCCGGTGCGGTCCGCACCCTAAGTGACGCTTCTATATCAGCTTGAAAGATTGCGTGGATCCTTACTGTAGAAACATAGGATTGATGCCGAAAATGTACAGTAGCGCGGTTATCAAAAATATGAGTCGCTGTGTCCAAGTGTTAGTCATGGAATGGCCACTGCGGCTCACAGGAGTTGAGAACCCTTAGGAGGATACTACAGATATTGACAAGCGCAGCACTTGACGCAGCGGTTAATGGACGCTAATCAAAGTCGCATACAGTAATCCAACAGCGTAGCGAATGCTCACGAAGACACAGGTCATCAGCGTCGGTAACCACAAGAAGACGACCGGAACAGAAAAAGGAGAGCAGCAAATAGCTGTGATAATATGAGAGGCGCATTTAGTAATGCCGACTAAACACGAGGAGCTACATATGGGAATTTGAAATATCCAAGCTAAGGGAAGGTGATAAACAGGAAATCGAAGTGACTCCAGAGTAACGAAAAGGAGAAACGTGTGAAAAGCATTTGGGTATTAATCTCAGTTTTATTCCCTTCAAAGTACTCACTAGTGTCATTCTTCTAAGAGTCAAGGGTCTACGTGTGAACCGGATTACTGCGAAGCAAACTGATCATCGCTCTGGAAGTGGTTGCATTGATCATATAGTTACTGTTCGCCATACAATAGGGTAGATATACACTCACATAAGATCGAGTGTGGTTGTATCACTTGACTTGAAAGCTACCCTAGATTCCGTGGTTCGTGCCAAGTTGTGAAACCGGCTATTAGTGAAGTGAAACTCATTTCCATCCTAAAACCTCTATACCGATGGTCCCGAGGCTGGATAAGAGTCTACAGGCAGCTGTCTTTTTGTTACGATGGAACGACCAATACTGCAATTCTGAACGAACACACACAGGAACGGAAAGTTCACAAAGAAATCAAGGGCGAATAAAAACTTCAGCTCTGAGTCAATAAATCCAAGCAGAACAAGGAAAAAGACAATATCATCGAACAAGATCAATTACGAGACGAACTCAGGCGACAGCTAATGGAAAACTCGAGGGTATCTATTAAGTCTCCGAACGGTCTTATGAGATCAGCCAATCACAATGCGAAACTGAGGCGAGAATGAATGTATGCGCGCCGTCTCAAAAGCATATTGTCAGCTAATGATGAATGCGTATTTTGTCGATTCTAGTGTGATGCTTGGAAAATCTAGCATTTCCTCAACCCCTCCCCTCTTAAGAAAACTCGTGCCTTGGCTACGTGGATCCAGATGAAAGGCTATTGTTAGATGACGTATCCGATCGGGCCACCTTCTGCGTTGTAGTGAAACCCGGTGCGGCAGTGTGCATGATACTTTTGTCAATGGGTTCGGAATGAGCCTGAACATGTCCAGCAGTAGTACAAGCAGCAGTTCTTCATCAGTATTTTGTGCCATCATCGTGGCGCTCCGTCCAATTGTGCAGTTCAACTGACAAGTAATGCATTAAGGAATCATGGCAACCCACGACTATTGCTGAGTTATACGATAGATGACTTCGCCCATAAATAGGAGTGTAGATAAAACCACCCATTGAGAATGTTGTTCCTGATGTGTGTACCGCGGTTAGAGACGGCTTTTCCGATAGGAGCATTGCATCTAAGATGGTACGTGTTTTCCGTACCATAAGGCATTCCGGTAGGAGACAGTTTATTTGGTGTTGCCGAGTTTTATGTTTCTGTAAAACATAAGGAAATCCTGGGGCTTTTCGTCAGTAGTTTCCTCCCCTAGAGTTTCTAAGCCGACCCACCTGAACGTGTCCATAAACCGTACAACCTGACCGTTTGACTGGTATGGTCAGTCGATGTAAATCGGGTTCCGTTATCAAGAAACCCGTGTTGACCGAGAATTCTGCGAAGGGCAGAGATGGTAGGCGATGTTGCCACCTGTGATAGAGGGGTTAGGTCACGCTATTTGGGCCAGTGAAATGGACGTGTACGTGCAACCACGACTTATCGGGTTGAATAAATGGTTGTGGGGCCAAACGCGGAGTATTCTTGGCGATCTGTCAGCAATGGGGAGACTGTTGGATAAGCGCCTTAATTTGGAGGTCGATGTAGCTTTGTACGATCATCTTCGTCCAGTCTGCACCGGGATGGCGTGCGTGAACGTGACACAAGACAATCAGGCGAAGCGGAGAAAAGATGAAAATGCGATCGGAAAACAGTAGACAGGAATCGGGAATGGACAAGCTGGCCCGATGGAAATGAGACTGTCGCAGGTCTCCTGTTCCTGTCGATTTGCCTTGATTAACCGAGACAGGTCATCGGCTTGCTCGAAATCTTGCGTGCGCCGGCAACAGATTCCAAAGTTATGGTTTAATAGAAAAATTATAACGCGTTCCAGTTTGCTGGCAGAATGCATCGGGATTCCCTTTAACAGTCGAAGATAGCGAGAAACGATTTGTGATCTGTCAGTAAGTGGAATTGGCGACCAAAGACGATCTCGGGGAACTTCTTCACAACAAACGAAAGTGCCAAAGCCTCCTTTTCGATCTGAGCATAATTCTTCTTGATTGTCGTAGGCGTGCGAACAGCATAGATGATCGATTTCCCCGACTAGTCTGGAAGCAAGTGAAAGATGACGGCACCGACACTGTAGCTAGAGGCGCCTTCAGTGAATACAATCGGTAGCTTGGGATCAAAATGTGTCAAAACGTCGGGATGAAGCAGCGCTTTCATAGGGTTGAATGCACCTTCACACTCTGGTGAGGACGACCAAACGCTGTCATTTTCAAGCAATTTATTCAGTGGTGCTCTGGCATCGTGGAGAGCCGGTAAGAACACGCTGTATATATATATATATATATATATATATATATATATATATATATATATATACACAATCTGTGGTACAGATATTGTGCCATCGGAATCATGGCTGAATAGGAAAACAATATGAATAATAAGAAAAGAGCAACAAGAAATGCTTTTTTTGTCAAGTTTACCACTCACAGATTTTGAAATTTTTTCAGTTTGTTCTTTTTTAGGGGGAGGAAGAAGGGACACCGCAACACACTGATGCACACGTCCGCCATTGACATCGATCTTGAGCCATAACTTCCAAGGTTTTCAACCAGCAAGTATCCTCATCTCTCGGACCCCAACCAGGTAGTCGACAACAACCGGCCGAGGCCAATTGTTTCGTCAACTTTTTCATGCGGCTTCTCCATGTTGTAGGCTGTCCACCAGACCGTCTCTTCCAGCCCTGTCCAGCAAGTGCAAACAACGCACGACGGGGGTAACGCTGGACAGGCATGCGCAATACGTGTCCCAACCACCGCAGTTGATGCAGTGAGATGAGCTCCTCGAGCGAGTGGCTTCCACGTCCCAAGACACGCTGTCTAACTTCCACATTGCTTACGTGGTGCTGCCACCACACACGGGCAATGGACCGCAGACAGCGGTGCTCGAAGACGGATAGCCTGCGCAAGTCATCTTTACGAATGGGCCAGGTCTCGCATCCGTACAACAGTACAGCACGAACAGTTGCACAATAGACCCGCCCTTTGATGGAGAGACGAATGTCGTGGCGACGCCACAAATGCCTCAGCCTAGAAAAAGCGAGGCGTGCTCTCGAGATGCGCATCGAAATCTCGTCTCCAATAGCCCCGCCAGCAGTGATGCAACTTCCCAAGTAGACAAAGCTCTCCACAACCTCCAGTGTCTCACCAGCAAGCGTGAGTGCAGGCAGAGGCACCTGCCAGTCTTGAAGGAGAGCCTTGCATTTGGATGGCGAAAAGTACATACCGTACTTTGATGCTTCAATCGTCAAGCGGTTTAATGCAAGTTGGACGACCTGTGGATCGTCACCCAGCAAGACGATATCATCAGCATAATCCAAATCAACAACTCGACTACCTGGGAGGAGCTCAACGCCAGCGTTCAACGAATCGCTCAGAGCGTTCTTCAGGACATCCTCAATGGCAAAGTTGAATAGGAACGGAGAGATAG